CCAAGAGTACTAATAAATCCACAAACAGTCCCTTCGGCATATAAAGCTACAGTATCACCAATTTTGAGGAAACTCGACGTCAAACTTGACTCCATAGTATCATCAACTGACGTCTAGTTGCTTACCTACAAAATAAATAAATACCATAGAAGAAAAGAAAAACGAATGATTTTTTTTCTTAATAGATGATAGGCCCAGCTGAATAACGAGTATGTTGTGTGCATGTAACAATTATAATAGAACAAAAGGAAAAAAAAAGGAAAGAATCGATCTTATTTTTTTTTCTTTGCTGTTTTTTCCTTCTTTTCTCCTCCTCGTTCTTTCTTCTTCTCGATGATTGATAAGAGATTGATAGAGCACAAGGTATTCGTTTGTTCTCGTCGCATGACTATTGATAGAGACCAAAAAAAAAATAAATGTCTATATTTATAAATATGTTCTGATGAAAAATATTTGCATTATTATCGGATTATTCTGCCAGAAAAAGAAAATGTCAATTATAACCGATTTAGAAGATTTTCAAAATTAAATGTTGCTAAAAAAGAAAAAGATCTTCTAAATTTATCATAATTTTAATTTCGTTACACAATTATCCAATTCTAATTGAGGCATTTTTCACTAGGTACTTATTCTATTATGAATTATTAATAAATTACATGGACAAAAAAAGAAAAAAAAGGAAAGCAAGTTTTCTAATTCTCTAACGTTTGTCCTCATGTTTTCATCACTTTATCTACAATAAATAAATCAAGAATAATTATGGCAATGGGAATAAACCTTCAGGTTTCCTACAGCTCTTACCACATGAAACAAAAATGAATTGGTAATATACTCTCTATTAAACCCTCATCACATACGCAAAGTAGCTGATAGATTTATGTATAATATATTCTTCTTAAGAGAAAAAGAAAACGTGTGTAACAGTTATATTTTTTTCCCTTTTTTTTTTTTTTTTTTTTTTTTTTATTATTATTATAATGGCAATGTTGACTATTACTAGTATTTAGTGTTTTTTTTTATCGCACCAGAAGAAGAAGAAGAAAAAGAAAAAGAAGGAAAAGAAGGAGAAGAAGAAACTTACGACGTTCTAAACAAAATATACAAGAAACAAAAATGATACATGGCTAACGTTCTCACGTTTATCGAAAGAAACAACAATATCATCTATCTTCAGCTAAGACTAGCTTGAGACGCGTTCTATCGTCTAGCCGCTGATGTATATGTAATTATCGTCTCAAGAATGTGCCGATGGTGATACTGGAAAAACACAGTAACAGACATTTGTGCATCTTCCCATTGCTCTAAATTAAGAGAAGGCGAAGAAGAAAGGAAAGGAAAAACATAAGTTGATCGTAGAGTAACGAGACGAAGAAAAAAAATAGGAAGAACAAGAAAAGACAAGAGAGATAGAACATTATTTTCACGCATCTATTGAACAAAGTCAAGAGTCAATTATCGTAGTTTATCTAAGTTAATTTCCTTTTTTGTCTATTCTGAGAGAGATGTATTCTATCATCATTGGAATAACGGTAAAACACGACAATATCGGTTTCGTTCCCATATTATCCTCTATAGACTAAAGCTAACATTTTATTACAAAAAAAAAATAAAAATTGTATGTAATATCACACATACGTCTATAATCAATTAACAGATGAGAGAAAAAGACATGCTGAGTAGGGGATATATATTGCACATGCTCACATATGTTTTGATTTTATCAATCGACGAAAAAAAGACAGTAGAACTGATATATTGTTGTTTTTTGATCTTTAATAGCATGTGGCATTTTTATTCTTGTATATTTCTAGTGATTAATATGCTATAGATTGATTATGATCAACAAGATTTAATATGCTGAAAAGGAAGAAAAAATAGAAAACAAGTAAATGATAATGAAGGACAAGGTTGTGATGCTTTGTCTACTAAAAAAAAATACGAACTTCCTGTGTTTTTTCTTTAAATATCCTGAGAGTAATCCTAAGCACACTTTTGTTTTCCTTTGTAAAACTCAACAAGGTCAATTAATCGATATTTATATAGAGAGAAAGAAGGACGAGAACACTACGATCGTTGTTTTTTTTCCTTTGTGACTAACATCGACAAATTAATATATTCACACATAATAATAAATAAATTACCTGATTAAACATTGAAAGAACCACAATAACAATTGTATATAATATATCAAATAGAAAAAACAAATAGCTCTCTAGGCTATATGATAACTAACTAAACTATTGTGACAGCTAAAATATTTCTTTTACGCCAAACCTAAAGGAGAATATGTCACCTGACGTCCCGAAAGCAACGTTATCTTTCTTTTCTACGACTTATTACTCTTGTAGATATTATGTTCCTGTCACTTTTTCCTTCGTTCTGTGTGATTTATTTGCCTCAAGAAATCAAACACTTCTCTACTTTATATTTTCTTTCCTGAAGCGTAAATCTACTCGTTTTTTGATGATGTTTGCCATGGTCTATTCATGCATGAGTGATATTTTTTTTCTTGAATGATAGCATACCTCTAGATTTGTTAATCATACGATTATTTATTTTTCTGTGTTCTTTTATTCGCTCTTATTGATATTATTGAAAGTAAAAACAGATTTTTTTTTAATATGCGTGCTTATATATATATTAACTTGGTGACATTATTCTTCATGAAATGTCAATGTCATTATATAAATTGCGACTGCTCATCTTCCAAGTGCACAGAAAGATAAACAAAAAAAATGTTATCACTAGGTGGTAAGGAGGATTATTATAGTACAAATGTCTCTTTTCCATTCCTTATTATAAGATTATGAATTAATAGGATATCATTATCTTTTCCCACCTGATGTAAAACATTGTAATCGACATATTTAATAATAAAATACAAAAAAATATATGTATTAATCATAAACTGTAGAAAGCCTTGTTAATGATTTGATTACATAAAGAAGAATAAATGATGACTTTAGTTATATCTGACATATATATATGATAGTTATAAAAATAGATATACACATGATAGATTATGTATCCAATATAATTTCTTTTATGTTTATTAAAATTATTTGGAAATATACAGTATTTATAAGAGTTTATAAGAATATTCTTATCTGTCTGTTAATGTAAAAAGAAAGTAAGTTAGACTACAAAATTAATATGTAATATTGTAAAAAGAAGTGTTCAATATTAATATAGTGATAGTTTTAGATACGAATTGACATGACAGTTTCAATATAAAAGAATCTGATATCAACGTTGAAAGAACTTGGAAAATAACTTCAGTGTTATAAGGAAAAAAAACATATTTAAGATAAATAAAAGAAAAAAAAACTAGATTATTTATTTCATTATTTATGTAATCGATTCTAACTAATGCGCATTATAATGTTCTAATAATATATGTAATTATACAATAATCGTTTATATTGTTATGTAATCGAATGTATTATGTCGATCTCATAAATGCATGCTATTTCGAAAAAGTAGGAAAAAAAATGTTATCTCAAAATACCATAATTGATTGATTCTAAATTAAATGTTATCTTCAACATTGTCTGTTAGAAATTTTATTATAATAATAATAATAGATTAATCGATTGAGAAAGATTTATTAAAGAATTGTTTGCAATTATTTCAGTATAATATAAAGAGTTTAGATACAATAAGCAAGATCGATGAATTCATCCAATTGTAATCAAATAAACATATTCTTAGAAAATCATGTCTTAACATATAAAATGGATACCAAAATCATTTAATAAGATTTATTTTCAATTTTTTTCCATTGTCATAAGCGCTCCAAAGAATCTATCTAGTAATTCGAGTAGAGAAAATTGTTTTCAACAACAATATAATAGAATAACAAATTATTATCAGTTTCTCAAGGATAGAGATGTTAGAAAACGAAAAGGCTAAGTTTTCAGCACCTAAAACGTGCACATATAATTTTGTTTAGACTACATAGAATGATAGAGTAAATAATTCTCTACAAAATGTGACGTCTCCAAGTTCTCTGCAACGATTTTTAGCCGAGATACAGTAGTCTTAAGAAAAGTCCTAAAATAGTCTTTTTTACAATTTCTTATAGAACAGCTATTTTTTGACCTTCAATCAAATTGTTGTAGCTGAGCTAAAAAAAACACATCACAGAGAACTTCGAGATAACTCATTTTGTAGAGAATTGTCTACTCAAGCGTTCCATGAAGTCTAAACAAAATTATATTTATACGCTCTAGGCATTGGAAAACTAGGATTTTAATTTTCTTGAGTTCCTATCATTAGAAATCTGATAAGTTTTATTTTCTTCTATTCTTTTTGGACACAGTTTTCTCTACTTGAATCACTATTTGTATACTTTCTACCACTTACGGTAGTGGAAAAAAATTAAAAGAAATCTTTTTGAATAACTTTGGTACCCACTGTATATCTCAAAAATTCGCTTTTTTCATATCAAGAGCGAGAATTCGATACTAAGAATATTCCACAAATGAGCTGAATCTAGTTAAGCTTTTGCAATGTTCTAGAAACACGACTAATCTTTTCTTATTCGTAGCAGGCACTCGTCATGTTATAAGTATTCTCTCTTGGTTATCTGCAAAAATCATGCAAGCTTAATTTACTACACAAAAAAATATTTATATAGCTGTATAAACACATCGTTAAACTTGAATAATGGCTTTTTATACTTATATTAACAAATATTTACATACCATACGTATTTATTTCAGTTTGGCTTCTTCATCAGTACTCTAAATTTAATGTAACAAATCATATCCAGTAGATGAAAATTTTCTTTATTTATAATGAAGATTTATACTTATTAAGATATAAAATATGAATGCGGAATTATTTAGATATTGTAAAAAGAAACCATAATGAACATTCATTAAATAGAAAAAAAAGTAGTAGTTTCATACAATGGAAAAAAAAATCCAATAGAATGTAAAGAACATAGTGAGATGTTCAATGAAAAACAAAAAATAAAATATCAGTTCAATAATTAATTAACCTGTTGCTTTATCTATCATTTTTTGTCCTTTCTTTGAAGCAAAAAATGTACGCATAGCATTAAGTGCTGAGCCAGCTTTAAACCATTCAATTTGTGATTCATTGAGTGTATGATTAAGTTTAATTGTTTCAGTTTTACCATTAGAATGTTTAATACGACATTCAACTGGCTATAAATACAAAATCGAAATAATTCAATTCTATTCAATTCAATTCAATTCGAAATCAAATATACTTCATTAGGTGCTAATTTATTGAGACCAATTAAAGAAATTTTATCATCTGGCTTGATTTTATCATAATCATCTGGATTATCAAAAGTTAAAGCAAGTAAACCTTGTTTTTTTAAATTTGTTTCTATAAAATATCAAATGAATTATGAAGTTTTCTTTTAAAATTCATTTATTTACCATGAATACGAGCAAAACTTTTAACAATAATTGCTCGACCACCAAGAAATCTTGGTTCAAGTGCTGCATGTTCACGACTACTACCTTCACCATAATTTTCATCACCAATAACAATCCATGGAATATTTTTACTCTTTATTCAAAATAGAAAATAATTTTCAAAACCAAAGAAAAACAAATAGTGAAATGATTTATCTTTACCTTATAATAACGAGCTGTATCTGGTACTTTACCCCATTCATTTGTTAAACGATTTTTTATCTTATTTGCTTCATTATTTTCTTCATTTATAGCACTTTAAAATAATAGAGTATAGTTTATTTATTCTCGAAAATAATAACTGAAATAGATTGATCTTGAATATTAGTGAATAAAGAAATCTAAAATTTTCTTTTGACTCATTCTAGTAAAATAAAAAAGTACGATGAATCTGAGATGATCTATGTATTGAAGAAAGAAGAGAAGGAAGCTTACATCTGTCTTTCAGTCACTTAGTGGTATGGAGTGCTGTCCTAAAATCTTCTCATACCAATCGATGCTTAGCTAAGACTTTATTCTTGACTTGACAATACAATTTATTATTTATTGTTAAATTCGATATCAATCTCTCATAAGAATATTTATGTATTGATAATGTACAATAGGAATTTTTCGTTAAATTTTAAGAGTG